TTCGTAACGATTTGAACGATTTTTGCGCCTATCATTGGGGCCTAAATTTGAAGTAGGGTAGATTAGAAGGACCATCTGGTTCTATTAAACTACTCTACTTCGATTTGTGCCCCGAAAATTGGCTTCAGAGTCGTACAAATCGTCACGAACTTCGCCGCGCGCGCCCTCGGACGCACGTAATGCCCGTCCGCCTTGCAACAGAGCTTCCAAAAGTGGCAGTAGTTTCTGAAAAGGGGGATTCGATGTGGTAGTAGGTGGAAACAAGGTTTCAGAGAAATACGCAATTTCTAAGGTTTTCTGGGCGTTACAAAAGGAATAGCAATAGAATATTCAGGACTTAGCTGCTACCTTCTTTTTCTTTCCTGTTCCTCCTATGGAACAGTAAAGCAAATCAATAAAGGAAAGAAAAGTTTGGTGCCTGGTCATGCCAGAAGACAGATCTAGAAGACAGATCAGTTAAAGGCACAGTTAAAGATAATTTTGGGTAATCCAGATTATGATGAAAAATGGAAGACAAGATCGGAACTAGTGCGACTGAGGTTAAGAAACTGCGTGCATCAGTCTTTCCAAAGTGAAAAAAAGCTTTGAAAAACCGTTAAAAAGGGGGGCTGGACGAGAATGGAACCAGAAAAATGAAGAAGAGTGGGGCATCCGGACGAGATAAACAGTGTGTTTCACTGCGCGCGTGTGGGTCCTGGTGCGAATAACAGACAATGGTAAGCAAAAATTCATTCACTCCTAAGCATAAATAAACAAAAAAAGCCCTAGTAACAGCAAAAGTAGCTGACCTTTTTCAGCCTCTAGGAGTAGGAAATTAAATAAGGGATGGCGGCAGCAAAAAGAAAAACAGTGGAAAAAAGAATGGGAGAAAAACATCGCCTCGTCACTCGGCGATTAGCTGATTGTGCGTGGGTTCTAGAACAAATAATAGCAATCTGTATTGTCTCGACACTCGTCTAACGTGACACCGATCGAGGGGCGGGAAAGCGAACTACGGCAGCAACGGGGCTTCCACTATTCCCTAACCGCCGAGATTGTGGGAGCGAGAGGATCCCTTCTGCCACCCATGGGGTACTGAGTATTCCTAAAGGAAGAACTCAGTAATCTTCTTTATCGTGAACCGTGCCTTTGAAAGGGTAGTAGAGATAGTTCTAAAAGCCTTCTTTTCATATTGAAAAAGTTCGCTGCGCACGCTAACTCGTGTATAACCTCTCCACGGCCGCTTGGCTGTCTTGTGGGTGTTTTCATAGTGGTCTGACTTTTCTGTGGCTAAAGAGAAGTGGTAGAAGCCAATATGACTGTCGCTGATTTATTGACGCCGTTCAATGTCAATGTAGAAACATTCCCACCCTACCTTCTCTATTTCCTGAATGTTTCATTACTGATCTTATTCCGATTATTGATTGATATCCGATTACTGAAAATAATCAAATGAAACAATCCTGATTACCAAGAACGGGGCAAGTTACGATTGTCAGTCAACGAGTTCAATTTCTATTCGTTAGCTCAATTACGAATACCTACGGATATTGAGTAGGGCCAAGTGGCACACCATCATACAAACGTAATCACGGGTTCGAATCCCAGATCGGTAACTGCCTAAGTCAACCAAGCCTTCTCCCCCTCCGGTGTCGATTAATTGGCACCAGACTCGCATACGCATTAATTACGCCAGTACGATTCTACATAGGAGTCGACTGCGGGCGCATCCCTCGAACGGGATTGATCAAGACGCGGAGACTATAAAGGCTTCAATAATGTATACACTGTGTTGTTTGTTTGAGGGTAGCAGGAGCCAAATGGGATTTTTGTAGTTTCAGAGCCAGAATTTCTGTCGGAGACATACTATTGAGAGACTCAAACTTTTGTCATACCCCAAATGATAACATGACCGGGATATAGATCCGTTTTGCGTAATCCAACGAGCGTTCGGGATTATTGAGATATATAATTACCCTTTCATATAAAATCGCTTTTGCAGGCTATCGAGACATCGGCGACAGGTGGTCATAAAATGTCGTCCGCGTCGATCGCATCCGGAACATCATTCTGCGCGGCGCATGAAAGATGAAAATTGTACGAAGGGTTTCCGATCATTACGTGTATCAAACCTCAATCGCTACCCTTTCCACTACACTTTCTTTGTCCACGAATGAGTGAAGTGTTCCGAAGGAATGGGAGCGTCATAGCTCCACTTCATTTGGTTCAACTCAAGCTGAACGGTACGTTGAGGAACTATCTACGGAGGGAGAAGGCTATCGCTGACGACCACGCGGTGAAATCGGGGATTATGTACGAAGGACAGCTAAGCTCAGAGTAGTGCCAGCAATACACATTAGGGCTGAAAAGAAGTAGCCATCGTAGAAAAGTCGAATGTCTAGAAAATTAGTTTGCTCTTTTTCTTTCATGTCCGCCATACTGCCACTGATAACGTCGAAAAGGTGGTGTACCCATGAAGGCTATGTTATCATAAGCTGGAATGGGCATATATGGGAATTCTCAACGTTCAGGGCACCTAATGGATTCATTCACCCTCTAGTAATGTGTCTCATATTCTATTTGAACTTGTAAAGAGAACTTCAGGTGCACTATTGGCTTACTTTCTTTTTTGGAGACGTAATTGAAAGGGAGATTTTATGGTTCGAGACGCAATTACATTGAAGGCACCCCCCCCCCCCCCCCCNATTTCATACCGAAGAGATGAGTTCATCTGGTAACCAGGTTGTGGAGGAAGCACTGAAGACCGTCCTGTATGCGGGTGACCACACTATGTTAGCGTAGAGTAGAGCAGAACTTCAAGACAAGCTGTAGAAATGTGGCAAAGAATGGATAGGCTGAACACGAAGAACAAGTTCTTCAGCTCAGAGAAGAGTTCAGAGCCAGTTGTAGACAGCTGCAAAAGTCGTCGAAAGCGTAATACAATTCTGATATCTGCCCTGGACAGTAGCGTGAATCAGGATATATACGCCATGGTTTTCTAACCTAATGGATATCGGGATGAAAATTTTATCTCCATGCAATTTAATACATCCTTCACGTCAGCCCAAGCACCCGAGTTTTTTTGGGCCATCGCCAGGTGCCCTTTCTGCCTTGGCTGGCACATAGCCCAACCTCAAAACAATGGAACATATTTGGGGATTCATTCCCTGAAGTATACGCGCAGGTAGTGATCACTTCGAGTGATCGCTATCGTGAGCCCAAGAAGACTAATTGGAACGAGGTACCACGTTGGCAAAAAGCTCATATAGAGGACCCTGTCGGAAGTATACACCACTGTATTTTTCAGACTCTTCGGGTAAATGAAGGTCCATTAGATTGTTGGAACAGTAAAAAAAAGTATTTTTGCTATGTTTCGGTTGATGATACTGTTTTGATTTTGCGAATTTGGCTAGGTGACATTTCTCATGAAAAAAGAGGAGGGAAATTCTCACAATTCCAGCCTGAGTGTTGATGTCGGCAAGCAGGTTCCTTTTTGCATTTGACACGATTTTCTCAACATTCTTTGAGATCATCTTTCTATGCGAGTTTTCACGACATTTCGAGGTAGAACCACAGTTGTTCTTTGCAGTGTATGCGTCCAGTACGCTTCCATTTCTCAGGTTTCATACTTTCATTTAACTTCCTCTGCCGTATAGGTTATTATTGGAGTGGCGCAAACAATTCTCCCGTCAAGGAGAATTTCAAGTTTGCAGAGATTCAAATGCAGAAATTTTTGGAAGGTTGTGAATCATTATGAACTGCTGACAGCGATGTTCATGTGCCGAAAGATTTTTAAGGTATAAGAAGAAGTGGAAACAGGAAGTGCTGACAGAATCACTTCGTGACATAAGCCCCTCTGAGAAATGCTCAGATTCCTTTCTGAAAATGCAGGTTACAAAAGAGAAGTCGAATGAATGCCCATTCCTACAGTTCAACAGATCCTCATTGAAAAGCATCACAAAGAAGAGTCGTGGGCAATGGAAAAACGAGCATGGACATATCTCACGAGGAGACTGCATTTATCTCCCAACGGCTCATTAAACTTCCATAACTGTCACCTCGATTGACGAAGATCACTTTGTGAACATTACTGCGAGCGCCAGTCATAGCGCACTTTGTGGAACAAGCAGTTTTGTGAAAATTCAGCTGATTCGCCTGCACCATGTCCGAGCCATGACATCAGCCACAAACATCCGTCGTGCCTGTGGAGGAAGGTAAATTCACGTCGGACTGCGATGTACTATGAAGTCGCTCGATTACTAAGAAGTAGCGTGAGCGGCTGTAATGGATGCTGGCAACCTTTCCTATTGATATGAATATGGAAAATGTTAGTTCGTCAATAGTTCGACCATTCCATCTTTCTCCAATTTTTCTATTGCCTTCACGAAAAACCTGCTCAAAGGCAATTCCATATGTATTCAAACCTATTTGCGTTACCATCCAGGCCCCTTCAATTACAAATGTTATTATGGTTCACAAAACAACAGTTTACAGAATTTTATTACAGAGCTTCAATAAATTACACAAGAAAAATGCCATTTTATCAAAAACTTCTCCAGCCAAATTATTCACATGAAAAAACTAAGTGAGGAGCAGCACCAATGATCCATAGGTGTATCATGAGAGTGAGTTAAACTCACTGTGGATCAGAGAGCTGCAGGCCCCGAAGTCATAATTGAGATCAAGTTAAAAAAAAGATCAATATTGAGGTCGGGAGTAAGATAGAGTATACTTTAAGCATACTGCGGACCAATGAAAAGTAATATTTAGAGCAAAATTATATCAAATAGTGGCAGCGAGGTAAAAAACGAGCAGTATTGAAGGCAACTCAAACTGAGTCGGAAAGATGTTTAGAAAAGCTAGGCCCAACATTGCGAATCATATCTGATTACTTGATACAAATGTACACTTCTTCTTAACAGCCAGTAAAATCATCTGCGTCCGAAAAAAATCTAGTCAAAAAGCTCAATGGAGGCTGAAATCAATGCAAACACTCGAGAAAAGAGCACAGGGGTGGAAAGATGGAAGAAATTGAGCATGCAACAAACAAACAAACAACTCAGCTAGGAGAAAATACGATTATTATCAGCATCATCATCAATGCTTTCGATATGATTAGAGGTATTTTCAGAGACCCCTTTAGAGGCTTCACCATTTTGCCCCAATAATGATGCCACGTCTGGAGCATTGGTTATTATGAAATTGCCCATCCATGGCTCGCCTTCATTCACAGATTCATTTTTATCCACCTCGTCGTCTCTTTCTTGAACCAAAGTAAGGGTCTGAAGAATCACTTTCAATAGCATAAAGGAAGAGGGTGTGGAAGAGAAGAGAAAATGGCGGCTGAGGATGACAAAGTAGTCCAGCACAACTTATAAACAACACTAGAATGAAGGACGAGATAAACTTACATTTTCGTTGCACATATAAAGGGTCACAGCGAGGGCATTAGCAACATTCACATACTTTCCTGAATTTCCCATTCTTCGCGGTAAGCACTGCATGACAGAAGAAAAAGTGTGAAGCCCTGAAAAATACTGAGGTCGACATTAAACACAGAGAATGGAGGACGAGTTGAAACGATGTAACAGCAAGGACGAAGTTTCGAGGTGTGTGGTGAGATTAGAACATCTAACCCACTTTAAATGACAATGAAAATTGTCTCAAAAAATCTCAAGACGAAGGAGTCACCCGTAATAATACCTACACCACAGACATCCGCAAGAAATCCGAACCCTATAAATCATCCCTATAAAGAGCCCATTGACAACTATGCCGCCCCTTCACGTTGCTACTGTCGACTTCGTAAACAACTTATCATCATTCCTCAACAATAGAACTCCGATGTGAGAATTGATACGCCGTATTCGAGCCTTGCTAATGGCCACTTCAGCTGAGAATTCTGCCCTTGTATTTCAAAATAGTAGAAAAGAGTCGTTAGCATTCTTCGAAACGAAGTGGACCTTGGACTTTGAAATCTGCCTGACGAACTTCTGCAGCAAACTGCTTCATACTTTCTTCTACACCAGCGCTCGTGGAATCGTACTGGTTCTTGGTCGTACCATCGCCATCACCATTGTCATCCAAATTTCGATAAGTGACGGCCTCGAGCACATCAATTGGATCTGGAAAGCTGTTATATTTTAAAAAAATGAGCACGGCAGAACGGTTGCGGTACGACTAGGATTCGATGCTGAGGCTCTATCACTCTTAATTGCAGGCTTGTAATAGACATTAGAATTTATCTTCTGTCTTCGTAGTTCAGGCCGCTCCCAGTTACCCATTAATTATTGATTTCCTTCATGTTATAGCCATTCCTTAAGACTAAAAGGCTCAAGGATGAAGTTTTCGGCGTTAATCAAACCCTTTTGGAATGCAGCCGAGCATTCGAGCTCTACACGGAATCCTAGTGGCGTATTAAATGCGCATATGGCCGATACGACAACATACGGTGGCCACCCGATGTTCTAGTTAATACTCCACCTCTCAGCCGAGGCTGTTACAATAAAGCGCGCATGAGGAATGGAAATTTGGTCGGCCTTGGCGGTTAGATCCGATAATCTCCGGATCATGCTGGGTATTGGTGCATTCACACAGAACAGGATGGACACGACAAACCGCGCGGCGAAATCTGCGGTGATTAAAACGGCTTTGGCGCCTATCATTGGGGCACGGAGTTCAAGTAGATTCGATAAGTAGGGCCTGCTGATGCTACTCATCTATACCACTTCGAATTTGTGCCCCAATGGTAGGGGCCAGAGCCGTTCTAATCACCACGAATTTCGCCGCGCGGTTTGCCGTGTCCATCCAGTTCTGGGTGAATGTTCCGTCCCGGGGGATGGAACTTACGTGCGCCGGAGGAAATGCGGTGCGCGCGGCAAACTGCGCGGCGAAGTTCGTGGCGAATTGAACGACTTTAGCGCCTATCACTAGGGCCCCAATTCGAAGTAGAGTAGGTTACTAGTATCAGCTAATCCTACTAATCTACTCTACTTCAGATTTGTGCCCAGATGATAAGCGCCAGAGCCGTTTCAATCGCTACGAACTTTGCCGCGCACATACTCGAACGCACGTAAGTACCCATACCCTCCGTCCCTCGATCAAGCGTCTGCGAAAGGCGTCACTTGCCACTACACCACCTCCCGAAATACGCAGTATTCAGACTGGGGGGACGGGACGAACGTGCGTCCGAGGATGCGCGCGGCAACTTGCGCGGCGGAGTTCGTGGCGATTTGGACGACTCTGGCGCCAATTTTCGGGGCACAAACTCAAAGTAGAGTAGTTCAGTAGAGTCAGATGATCCTTCTAATCTACTCAACTTCAAATTTTGGCCCCAATGATAGGCGCTGAAGTCGTTCAAATCGTTACGAACTTCGCTGCACAATTTGCCGCGCGCATCCTCGTACGCACGTTCGTCCACATACCCTTCAGATTATGCTGGTACTGTCACTCCTTCATAGGCATCACTTCTCACAATGAGATTGAACGCAATACTCCTCCGAAAATAGTGAGTAATATTGACGATAAATTGAAATTATAATTAAATTCGACTCAAGGAAACACTGGTGAGAACTATCCCTCGATGAACCCGCTATCCTTTCAGCAACGCACTTTTTAGGCTATCACTGATTACTGGAAATCAGTGGAATCGTAGAAGTTCTACAACCCATTCGGTACAATTCGCTCCCAAAAATCCACTTACAATTAGAGGAATAAGTGTAGCATGATAATGTACTTTGATGTGATGGTATAAGTGACCATGCAGCTCGGTCACGTATACCATCACCGCAAAATAAGTTGAACTTTAGGAGGCAGGATATTACCGAATCTGCAAAACTGCTGTTTCGAATGAAAATTTCGAGATACATCGTCCTCACCTATAGCAGTGATATCGATGGGGTTGTGCTCTTCCAGAATTTTCTCTGCCACAGGTCCTAAGCTGGAATCGAGAGTTCGATCAAGCTTTTTGAAGTACACCTCAGGACCAGCTTTTTGACTCTTGTGACGCTCCGCAGCTCTACGTCGAGCTAACAAGGCTCTCCTAGTGTACAGCACCTTATCGTATGCAAGCTGAAAATGAAACAAAAAAAGTCGTTTATTAACGTGTACCGTATATGAGTACTGGACCAGAATTTGCTCAGATAATCCAAAGTGTTTAGTGTGGAAACAAATGAAATGTGGATAGTTTAGCACGTTGAATAATCAGAAAAGAGAAATATCTGCAGATAGCGTAGGTAAGCGAAGCTAGTCTAATACCAGCTGTAAAATGAGCTCTTGGTTATCCGATCAGCTTAATCTGCTTACTGATCACTGATTTGATAAATATAAGAAGCAGCGTATCAAACACTATGCGAACGCGAAATTCATATATTAATCTAATGATGCGTCGGCATCTGCGCGCGCTCCCAACGACACTGGCGATCAACAAGCAGCCTGCATGTGAGAACAGTACATTTCATTCGAAGGCCATAGATACTGATAAAGAAGATGGAATCAACCATAGGAGCAACAACGAGAATCCGTGCTCGACCGAAGACGTTGGTCGAAATGATTGGTTCAACACATGTTCAACAAATGCAAGGATGGCTTCGAGGTTGACTACCTAAGTTTAGATGAGCAAACGATGATTCGACTGCACCAACTGAGCTGACCAGATATGCTTGAAGCTTTGAAAGTGTATGGATCCAAGAAGAGCCTCTTCTACTATAGATATGAACGCTTCAGAAAAACTTCCTGTGAAATGAAGACATTGATAAACTATTCAATCTTTGAAAGCAGATGCTAGAAAGTCAATGAAGAAGATGCGTGAAAAGGAACTCTCTGGTGTCTCGCTTCAAAGTTCGCCTTTCATTCCCCGAATGTCGCCGTTTGCTTGTGCCCGCTTCCTGTGCAAGGTGAATGAAGATCTTCACGATCTCATCAAAAAGTACCATGCCTGGAAACCGTATTCAAGCATTATACTTCTTAACCCCAGAATTGTTAGTTGACCAGAAGTCCGGAGGAAAAGAAACGCCACTTCCAATCAAATTTCCATAATGTTCAACTTGCCAGCTGCAACACTGGTGGAAAGAATGCACAAAAAACCACTATGCGACCGGAGCCGCTCAGGGGTTAAGGTATGCTCGCCTCTGTCGCAGAAACAGACATCACAACACAACTGGCATCATTTAGTCACTGCCGTTTTGGGGTAATACAATAGCACATAAATGGTTATTTCATTCAATTGAACACGAACGTCGCAATCATTTCTCTCATCCAACCTGTATGCAATAAGGACTCGCACTTAAATGAGACTTCCGGTGTATTCAAAGGAATCAATGGTTTGCTGCTTCCACTGACAATCGGTTCGAGGCTTGTTTCGTGGCAATGAACATCTTTGGAAAGGCTAATACTGCCAAAGCGGCAGCTACATATGACCTACTCGGCAACACATTGATCAACTTCACCGCCACGACGCCTCCGGCCTCAAAAAACTCCGGCACGATACGTTTCAGACTGTATTTTGCTGGCCTGTCTCTGACCCTAGCACTATTTGTTCGAGGAACTTCGCATTTATCTCCCTCAGCATTATTCCTTCTGTGTGAAACCTTCAAAGGGGAGAAAGACACGAAAAATAAGAATGGGCAAAAAGCAAAAAAAAAAAGAGATAAGCAATTTGATGAAGAAAAATCGTTGGCAAATTACCTGAGCCTAAAATCAAGAATAAAAAACCGACTCACAAGAGGATTGGACAAAATTGACTTCATCACACGCTTCATTTTGGCAGTATTCAAGTGATAAGGAACCACACGGCATGAGAAATCCATTATCTGTGAATATCATAATAAAACTCAATCTGTTCAAGCGATGTCGCTGTTTCGATTTTTTTTTCCAAAAGTCTTGCAACATTCGAGCATTGTCAGTAGAACAAAAAGGGCAACAAGAAATCAGAAACACTTACACTTATCACATAGCCATCTTCTTTTTTTGGTCCTAATGCATCAATCGCTTCGAATTCAGCAGCTACGGCAGCTGCCCGCTCTTCCTTCGTCATTGCATAAAAATCCTTTTTTGGTACGATATTCTGAAGGATATTTTTTCGGAATATGAAGGTCGATTCTGAATCATCAGGTGTCAACTGCTCTACAAAATTCACCTTGACATCGATACCTAACGCTTTGAACTCATCGGGTCGAATATCCTCGAAACGATCTTTTCTAGATGAATCGTCACTGTCAGGATAGTATACATCATCATTGAAACTGTCATCTAAGAAATCTGGAGGTGCACCCTCGTTCTCGGAAATGGTCCTCGACCTCGAACCCTCTCCTTTTAAAGATGGTAATGGCGCCTCAGAGGTAGTACCGTTCTCCAAGACAGTCGGACCTCTGTAAACAACAAGCTGTTTATTTGAAATCCTCTACTGAAAAATTAGGTGAGCATACTCTTCCGGCAAAACACGAAATCCTCCGTAGGTGGTCAGCCATTCGTCGCAAACATCATCACCAGCCTCAGGGAGATTCGCCTTTTTCTGGGAAGATTCATCACTTGTCGACGACCTTTTGAGTGTGCCGTTGAATGGCAGCTCTGAGCTGCTCGGTGACCGCTTGATTTCTAACTTTATACCAGGATAGTGACCCTAAAATGGCTCAAATAGAAAGGTTAGCAACGACGACAAATACCCAAGCCAACAAAGACGAACCCTCTGGATCAACCCGGGCTTCACAAAATCTTCAAATTTGTACTCCTTTAGTGAACGTCGGGGAGGAGGCTTCCTTCTCAAAAACGTTACATCCTCTCCACGCGTAGTGCAACGACGATCCACAATAGAAAAGCGATTTTCTAGTGAGAACGGCTCATGCACTTCTGACTTTACGAAGTACCTGGAATAAGCACTTTAAGAAGGATGATGATGGTGAAAGTTCTGGCTGGTTTTAAATTATAACAAGTATTTGTTAAATAACCCACTCTTGCTCTATCACTTCCACCTTCACCTCTGGCTCTGTTTTGATTTTCTTCTCTTTTTTCTTTGGTGGTTCTTCAACAGTGATATCCAACTTGGTTTTGCCTAAAAGTACGGTTAGTGCTAAAAGTGTTTATATAAAGATATTTTATTTTGACGAAGAACACCGCAGTGTAGAAAAGGTCTAGGTGAGCGCTGCGCCACATTGTATTTGTCCTCTTTCAACCTTCCTACTTTGACGCACACCCTGGGAAGTTGGACTCCACGAAAGAAGGATAAACGTCATTCAACGCGCTGGGGAAAGAACGATGTCGGAATTCTCTATAGACGCAAGTGCACAGTGGAATCCGGAGCTCGGCGCTCCGTTAACGAACGCTGATCAGGGACACCGTGACTACATTAAGGAATCGAATATCAGATGGGCCACACAGTTCTTCCTGTTGAAAAAGGGCTACTGAATGGTCCCCTGGGAAAGTTAAACGAGTACCCAGAGAGCGCCAGCGCGGTGGTTAGGTTCCTGCACAAAAGTTCCGATGGAAAAGAGTGCTGTGTTTCGTTTCCCTCGAGAGTGGACGATCCACTGGACTGCTGTGACTCGCGACACGGACAAATAGAGACGTTGCTGAGGCCCAATGGAGGAAATAGATAATCAACGGGTGGCAGATGATACGAGTGGCAGGTGATCAATTCAATATTGATAATCGAAACAGTAGTAAAAATAACGAATGTAATAGCAATAACAATCTATGAAAATGATAAAATTAAATGTAATTCTTGAAAGAACAATCAATGATGTTAGGGTCGGACTCTTAGGCATTGTCCAAAAGGGGATTGTTGAACACCAAAAAACTAGCCAGTTTTCACTTCTTTCTTTTCGACGACGCCATGAGCTTACAAAAATTTCATAACGCTCGTTCTATAAGGCAGATGTCACTACTGCTTGTCACTGATATAATAGTTGAGCTAGGCACGCTAATGCGTGCATAACAACAAAGAATGCTTGACCAGAGATATCCGACCCCCACTCTCCTACCCCCTCAACAAGATTCTGGTTTGTAGGTTGTGTTGAAATCGTATTGGGAAACTATGCAGAAAGTGCCGCCCACTAAGGAGACGCCTCCCTCAACGCGAGTAAGCTTCTTGGTTTCAATTCTTGACGCGCTCCTCACCTCTGCTTCTTTTCACCAGAGTCTGGGCTTTTCTGAACCGAAATCAGAACGTTTCGCTCTTGGCACCACCACCTACGTCGATCCATGTCCCGCCCTTCATAGGCGGCCCATGCCGAAATAATCTCAAACTTTGTCCGACTTCTCTTGGTGCTTTTTGAGATTACAAGGTTTTATGGTACCATGCTTTATATGCCTTACGCTATTGCGTGGGGTCTCTCATTGTCCAGTTATCTTAGTCTTCTTCCTTTAGATGAGTTGACCAAGGTATAAATGAGTCCTAACTGTGCTATCAGAGAGGGTGGATTGTGTTTTACAATGTAGCTTGTTTTCCATAAATGCTACCGTGCTGATGTGTAAGTGCGGGAGTCACTGGAACGAAGCGTACGCTTCAAAATGTTGATATGTACCTAGTTTCGTGACAGAACGATATACGATAGACGCAGACGTGTGCGCTCTACATTTAGCAAGGGTACTCACCTTTTCGATTAGAAGTGTCAGGGATGACATCGTTCTGTTGAGCAGATGCCTCCACGCTTCCTTCAGCAGGTCGATCAACGATAGCGCGAACTTCCTCTTCAACATTAGCACAAAGATCATCTTCAGGGAATGTGAAGTCACCACCATCGAGAATTTCTCTGAAAATATACGATTCTCAAGCTTTGTTTGACTTCAATGACCAATGCACTCGCCGTGAAACTGATATCACCACAGCTTTTACAGCTAGGGAAAAACTAGGAAAACCTTATTAGAGGGCTGAGCAGTACAGTATCGCCACACGCAGAAATAAGCAAGCTTTTCACGAATTTAAGGACGGCCTATCAAAAACACGAACCCATCCTCAGATATAAATTATTGTCGAACACCGGAACACAGTCTACATGTCTCGGAGAAGTCACATCCCGTAATGTTAAGACTTAGCTGGGAAATTCCACCGGTTCTCCCTGTAGCCCCGAACTAGCACTTTCAGACTACCATCTATTGTTGTCCCCAACAGGTGAGGCATCCACGCTCTGCCTAGTCGTTAGTAACAAATTTTCGATAGCGATGATGCATATGATGTGCACCGATACTGCATTTTTTCGGAATATAGTTGAATCGAACCGTGTTCGAAAAGAGCACGAATTCTAGAGACAACCTACAGATCTCGAGAGTATTTTGTGCAACCTTACTGCTCATTTTCTTCAAGTGAAGTGGAAGTCGTGAACTGTCGGGGGCCCATTGTCAGATAAAGAGGATCCGGGATGCGAAAAACAATTCGAATCAGACCGTACACGCCCGGGCCAACCCATTTTTTCGGTCATTTGAGGGCAATTGATGGGCACCAAACCAGTCGGAGAGCTTAAAGGCACTGATTTGGTACATCGGCTGTCCATCGCAGGCCAATGTATAGGCTACATACACGTACATGAACGCCAGTATGATGTTGAATGGAAATTGGACGCGGGGCTTATCCAGGAAGGGATTGACTGACGGCAATATATTTATCTTATATAATCATCAAGGCCGTTCCAATTTAATTGCAGCTCACACCCTTGCTTAACATAAAGGATAAATCTGGTACTCATAGGAGTGGCATGAACAGATGAAACATCAGTTATCCATAATTGCATCAAGAAAAGCTTTTAAAGAATTGGTTGTTTTCATATTCCGCGATTTGGCCAGCGAGCGAGCGACGGGGGACTACTCGTCCGGCGGGATCGACCAAGATTAAGTTGTAAACGAGGGCAAGCACCACCCCGTCGCTCGCTCGCTCGCGGGACAAATCGCATACTATGAAAGCAGCCATTGTTGCTTTAGTACGATAAGGTGCTTTACACCCGCATACATAAAGGTTCAAAAAGAGGACGATTAGTTTTAAATTCGCGTTTTTTGGAACTTAGCTCTCACAACTAGAAGAGCTAAATATAGCACAGTTAACACAGGCAGAGTAGCCGGATTGATCCCATGGCTTTTGTTATTCTTGTGGAGAGGATCCGAAGCGGTAGTTGAATATATTCCAAAAAAGGTATCTCTGACGAGCTCTTATTTCCTTCTTCACTGCTCCCATTACAAAAAAAAAGAAAAAAATTGTGGGAAGTACTTACTCATTGAGCGAATGTTGCGAATTTTCCCTGTCGATGCATACTTCAGCAGTATCAGGATGTGAGTGACGTGGAGTTGGCGTGTTCAACGCCTTCTGACTATTTTGCGTGTGGGACTTCGGCGGCAAAGAGCGCCTAGATATTTTTGGCAAACTTCGATTATCTCGAAGTGACTTCTCTTGCGGTTTGTCCATGTAAGAAACATAAAGAGCAACTGCCTCATTAAGGCGCTCTAGCCAATTCCGGCGATCCTTCTCGATTTCCTGATATCTGACAGTTACATGGTACCAAGAACTAGCTGAGATCTTTTTCGCCGCCTCATGGATGTCATTACGAAGTTGGAGCAAGCGACCTTCCCTGAACGTAATGGATTGGTTGCAATAACCATAATTATAAAGAAGGCACTGATCCCATAAAGAAGAAACATAAATTTTAAATAGGAACATACATCCGTGGATAGTTACAGCAGCGAAAATATTGCTCAGAAAATAGCAGCGTTGAACTGGTCATGCACCATGGATCGACGCGATAGAACCTCTGTAAATACTTGTCGCTCAACTGAATACAACGCATTCTCACAACTGTTCAATGTTGAAATGATCTGGTAAGAATAAATGGAGAGCGATGAAAGGCCTGATTTCCAAGATTCAATCTCCACACCACGAGTGTTTTCGTCCGGGATTCAAAGCATCAGTATCAGTAACCCAAAATTATGAGCGCATATTCATTGCAGGTTTTCAAGCTTCTAAGCCTAGAATGACAATGGAATCTACATGCAAGTCTGCATACATAATGAGCAACAATGAGCTGCAAGCACATCCCAAAAAACCCCTGTAGCCCGGATAGAAGTCCGAGGTCTGTTCCTGAACTCGTCGCATCTTGACCGCATGTATGCCATTGTAGTCTCGTGTTTCCCTCATAAGCGAGAACAACATTCTGCATTTTTAACCTTACACACTTTCTTGAGATCGGAAATGAAGTATTTCTGGATATAATAGGAATGGCAACGAAACTTCGGCTTGATAATTCGCACCATCGACACCTTCGAATATTTATAATTTTGCCTCTTCCGGTTTTGTTTTCGAATAACTCTGCTTCGCTGTATAGTTTAATTGCCTTCTGTATGGTCATTATTGGAATCAGAAGTAATTTTACTCTGCCCTTCCGTCTACTCCATACGAACGATTGCAAGTCCCATTTAACGAGCCTTCACCATCTAAACGATATGGGAGTCTCTCTTCAGGTACTACGCATCTTGTAGGAAAAGCGATTGGAGTGTAATTAATGACTTATTTCTGCCTCAGAAGTTTAGAAATTTGACCCTCCACAACTTTGGGATACCCTGTACAATGAAATTTGTTACTGCTACAGTCCAGAAAAAAACCGACTGCATTGGTGCATCGTAGAGTCAAGATATTCAACATCAAAATGACTTTTATCATTCACTCCTCTAAACATCAAATGAGGAAAATATTATTCAGCCTTGTTTTGACTTGATGTTTTGTTAATTGCTGTTGTATCGCCGCAGTACGCGATGCGAAAGTCTCACAAGGATAAAAAAGCGAGGGCAAGCGAAGTCTTGTTAGTGTAAGAGTCAGAGCACGGTGCGCGGAAAGCAGAGGTACGCGTTTGAGTCCCGGCCAAGAAGGGAATTCTGTCCATAAATCGCCATCCTTGTGAGATTGTTTAGGCTTTCTCAATTTCCTAACGCCGCCTTGAAATGCACCCACGCCTTTCACTTAAATTTGGAATCGTCCGCCCTTTTGATGAGCATTTAGCCTTACCAACGATTACTGGAGCCGACGCATGTAAGACTCAGCGTCTTAATCCGCGCAAACGAGTTTGGTAACCAGCACCACCCCGCGCCTGAGGCTGAAGGGCTTGCTCTGATAAACAGGTATCATAAGAGGAAGGAACCCCGGAGCTTGATGTGGCACTCTTCCTAAAAAACTCACGTAGTCGTGCAAAACTTCTTGGTGTTTTTTAATCGAACACAAAAGGAATTCGCACACTATTTGAATTCGGATTCGCAGGACAATCCGTTGCAGCAACAGGCCGATCAGTGAAGAGAGTCAACAATCAGCAGCAATGTACGTCTTACAACACGTAACACACGGAAGAAGGGGGATAGTGATAATACACCATTAGAAAATCGAGGTATGGCTGTAGCTTTATGTAACTTCGTCTTTCAACGTTAATTTCGACTAAACCCCTATATATATAAAGCACAAACGTCGTGTTTCGCATGTTTTTTTTTGCCTGTTCGACAACAAGGTAAATTGNGGGGGGCAGGTCGAGCCTTCATGAAAAATCTCAGGTTGCGACATCGAGCGCGATATCCACAAAGCGGACGTGCAAACTAAGAGAGCATTATCCTGTTCTAATACGACGAACACTCCGTTGACTAATTTCATCCCAGATGAGCAGTGTTGGACACTGATAGGCTAACATAGCCGAACTGTTGATTAGACAATTACGGCCGTTACACAATTACCCTGGAACACGTAATTGTTATAACGAATTTGCAGAAATTCAAAAAAAAATTCACGGTTCTTTTTTCTTATTTGAAATGAAAACCCATTGAGATGTGAACAATGAAATGATTCTGCCTTGCGTGAGAAAGAAATTCTTCAAGATTTGAAAAGCATAGCATGTAGTCGGGATAAGGCAGTATAAACTATGGCACCACTCGCACAGTACTTCCGTTAGTCATACTAGGATCGTTTCTTTTTCAGATTGAAGAAGAAAGATGTTAACAAGACTAGAAGAGGTGACACCGGCGCGAATGTTGACCGATACTCGAATAAAATTTGTACACGTAAGTGGTTCATACCGATACTTCGCCGCTATCAGCGATTCCGTTGTATCTGCCTGGGCGAAAACATTTTTGCTTTAAGACAGCCAATTCTTCAGGAGCCATTCCAACGCCAACACGTTCCGCTCGCCTAAATAATTGAGGATGCATCTTAAAGGGAAAGAAGAAACGTGAAATAAAAAAAGAGAATCATTTTACAAAATTAATGTTACAACGGAACTTCTGCTTCAGAAAAATGGATATCAAATGTGGTCATGCAAAACCGAGATGGGAAATACCTTAAACTTTCATGTGCTTGTTCAACAGAGACCCTGAATTTGAAAACTTTCATATGATAGGTGGCATCCATATATCGCACATCGTTGTGTATTCCACACTTCTGAATATAGATTAAAATAGCAACATTGGTGACTTTGAGTTTGTTCAACAGTTACTCTACCACAAAATCGATGATGTCGTTGAAAATAACATCTTCAGGTACATTCCATTCTACAACATCGCTGCCAGTGCCCAAAATCGAGGCCACATCCTGTTTTCGGGATTCGGATTCATCGTCTTTCATAGTGGGTAGATCGAAGGTTTTGGAGAAGACATTTTTAAGAGTGTCAAAAAAAGTCAGTTCTCTCTTCGGTTCGATAATGTCGAGGAAACGCGAAGTCCTCCATTCTTTGAAATCTTCTTCATCAACCTCCTCTTTGTCAGCATCGTTAGAAAGATTTGCTCTGGCTTCGCAACACTCTTTAACCACGCTGTTGCATCGCGTTCGCGCTGCCTGAGTAAGTTCGTTCCGTAAATTTTCGAAGATGGCCGTTTGTTTCTCGTGCTCATCTTTCAGCCGACTCAGAAGTGAACCTCTACCAGCGGGCCTGGATCCTTCTATTTCTTCGAGATCTGTCCCAGCTTCTTGCACACTTGGTGACGGCGAGAAATGGAAATTGACAAGAAAAACATCAGCTGCAGTCTGAAAACAACTCTTGGACTAAAGGTTACATGAAGATGTTGGTTATGTTTTGAAACCTACAACTTTTCGATTCTCTAGTTGTTTCCTCGCATCGGCAGTAAGCTTTACAAGATCGAGTTTATCCCTTTCATCGACACTTGACTTAACTTCTACACTTTCTTTGAAATACATCTAAAAACTCATCGAATCATCAAGTAACTACTAGAAAACACATAAACAAGAAAACCCACGTCTTCAATCTTCCTGTTCCTGGGATTTGCATATTTATTGACAGGAACGCGAATGAGTGGTGCCAGTCTCCCCAATGCAGTTCCTCTAGGTGGTTTTTTGAAGGTATAAAGAGTCTTATCTGCATTCTTCTCCACACAATTGTACCTATCTCTAGGATCATCGGCGGCTGAAATTCTTTAACTTACCCAACAGTTCGAACCATATTCGCGCACTCAAAATCCAACTCTAGTAAATGCATCTACTCAAACCCATTTTTTCAAACACTGCTTAATGTATTACGTATATCTCCAACTGGCGAAAGGATGAGACTATGGTCGGTGAGCGAGAAATTTAATAAAGTGGAAAAGATAGCAACATACACTCCTCTTCAGGATCGAAATGATGATAAAAGGGGCGCTCCTGCAGAACGTAACCGGTCATGTCGCCGGTCCTCAGGTATTGGCCAGACTTGTATAGTAACGGATTGTCATCAAGCAAGAAGTGATCCCACGTTACTGGTTCCTTTTGCAGTGCGTTTGATAACATATCTCAAAAGAAAGACAAAAATATATGATAGGAAAATGTGAAATCGGTCAAGGTTTAAGAAATGATAGATCACCTCTACAGTGTTTGAGAGTTGACAGTTGCACGTCATCTGTGTACTTGCTCTGTGAAACGGGCTTCCTGATCATCGCGTCATGCAGCATGATAACTTTTCCCGTGATGTCCCTACGTGCTTGAAAAGTAGCTAAGGCATCGATTCGATCCGACTCAAGATTCGCAGTGACCTGCAAGAGATGCTGTTACCCAGATCATGTAAAAAACAACCTCCAATCCTCAAGCAAGCAAGTTTGTGCCATTTCAGTAATTGCATTAAAAGATGAGTAAGAAAAGAGTTCGATGAGTTACCCTGCAAGATCAAAGGAAGCGGTGCGGCTAAATTTTGAACAAATGAAGAGGACGATAACAACGTAAACCGAAAAAGGGCTTACTTTCAGCTAGCTCGACCACCTACTGAGCTGCCTACAAAAAATATGCTGAATTTCGGAAAAAACGAACCTTCAGCAAAACCATCGTAAAGCGTATTGAAAAAACTCACTTGCATGAAGTCCGTGTATGTCGAACAAAACTTCAACGGCGGAATTTTCTTCCAGGACATCAATTTCCTCTTCTGAATTAGCCATTGAATGACAGATTTTAAGAATTGTAGAACACAGTGCAAACATACTCGACGATTTTTTCTAGCATCAAGGCGTCTGCATTCAACTCTCTCAAGTAGCTCCTGTGTGAAACTCCAATGTTGCAAAAAACTACCACCTATTGGGAATTTCAGGCCAAATGTGTAGTCAAACGTATCGGAATCTAAGTTCGGAAGAAGACTAGAGAATTAAGTAGATTAGAAAGAACGACCTCACAACGACTACCTGATAATTTCAGCCAGTCCTCTTGTTCAGTATCATTATTCTGGAACTCGTCCATTTCCGCCTCGGCCATCTTTCTTGCCTCTTCTTCTCCTGACAACGGTTTCATTAGGAATGCAAACGAAAAGAAAACCAGACTCGGAATTTCAACTTCTCTTCTTAACCCCGATTTCCAAAAAATAGGCGGAAAATTCTAAAAGGAGAGTCCTTTACGAGGTATGCTCGTCAAGGTAGGCCACCAACGCAACCCTTGATTACACTGACTGATGAAGGGCCTACGTCAAGATACGAGAAACACTGGAGTGAAACTCAGAAGCATGTAGGTCAACAGTACGTTTAACGATTGTCTAAAAAGACTTCCAGTGAAATCTCGACATCATCGGCGAGGCATTCTATTGGGCAAATATAACACATATATGGAACTTACTTTCACCTTTTTTTCGTCTCCTTTTTTCTTTCGCGTTTTCAATATTTTCACCGGTAGCAAGCAACATTGCTGAAATAATAGCAATCAGTTCAGAAATTAAATTACACGAACTGAAAGCACAGGGGTAGTGCTATGTTAAAGGTGCAGACAGCGGCAGAGGATTTGGAAATGGAAGCTGCTTGCTCTATGGAAATGAAAGGCCCTCCCTGCAGCTAAAAATAATCTGTTAAGTCTACTTTCAAAAATTCCAGCCATAATTGCGGTTGTAAAAAACTCACGGTCAGGGTGACGAACCAAACTTGTGTTAGAGGTATGAATACTAAAAGCCAATAAATTTTACACAAAACACCCTTTTCTAGACGAGACCAGGAGAATACTTAGGGACAGAATTATTGGCGTATTCAATCGGTCAAAAACTCGTTCGCGATAACCCCCGAACTGAGCGTCCTCAGGACTAACAGAGCACTGTGGCCCACAAAAAACGATCACAAAAGAGATGTCTCTTATGATGGGACCCCGCATGCAAATGTTGTGTTGTAGGTTCACAGTATCAAAGCGAACAAGCTGAATAGTAAAAGCGTAGCTAAGCTACTGCACTGCACTACACTACGATACTATGGAAGCCATGCAAACAAACTCAACACTACACACCACTCAAAATTGCAGTGGAACTACCACAGCCCGCCGAAAAGCCTCCCCCATACCAAAGGCCACTTCTCTACGATATTCAGTCAGTAAGGATTCCGTGTGGCTCATTTGGTCGAGATTTTGATTGATTGGGGAAAGACGAACAAGAGAAGAAATACCTCAAAGTATCACGAGTAATTAGAAAGGGGGAGGAGGTACCTAAGCTATCACCCACCGTGTCTGAATCGTGTTTTCAACTCAAAGCACCAAATCATGTCGAGTGAAAATCTACGCGATCCTGACAATCAAATAGTACGAAGAGAATTTCATTTGGACCCGTCTTAGCGTTATGATTACGATGAAACCAACGACAAGACAGAACACGGCGAATGGCATGGCTTAGGTGCGTGTTGCGGTTGCCCACTACCTTTCTCAGCATCGCTTTTACCACGGATGAAAGTGTAGCGCGTCTCCTGGGCATCGTTGTGTGTTCGATCTACGCGGAGACTGTATACAGCTGTGGCAATGGCCAGTGCAACGGCATCTTCCTTAATAAAACTTCATGTTTAGAAAAGACACAAAGCTAAAAAAAAGTCGACTATGCCAAAAATAAAAAGAAATTGATATGGAAGTATACAAAATCGATAGTCAATGTAAATGAGTGACAAGAGTATATACATACACAATAAGAAAAGAAAGATGAAAAAACAGATCATTGTAGAAGCTAAAACAACAAAAACTTCCAGGGCTATGGTTACAGAGCAAGATACATAAAATTGCACAAGAAATCAAAAACTCTTCATCAATACTACTGGCTGAACATCAGCACAGTATAGTCTTTTCAAAATTTCCTGCTGAGATGTTTACTTTTTTGCTTTCTTAGATTTTTTTTGCCCTTAGCTTGGGCACTGAGTAGCGGGAGTACGGAAAGAACTTATTGAATAAATAGAACTCAAAATGTTTAAGGAAAAGAGACGTACTTGCATATTTTCCGATTCCCTCAGGCAAATGTCTATGCAGTCGAGAGCCGTTCTGTCTTCGAAACAATTAGCCATCACGACCTTAGTCCTTTTCCCATCGTTCAAGGCAGCTATCCTATCCACCATCCTTGCTGACATCCTCATTTCAGGATCTTCCGTCTCTTCAGCTTCATCTCCTAAAGTTATGAAGGCTTCAACGATGGTGGATACATAATTGTGGAAAGACCAGCACCGGCGTCATCATGCCCACAGCAACTGAAACTTACGCTTTGATGTGGATTTCAACGGCTTTGGCTTTCTTGCGGGCGTCTTACGTTGTTTCTCTTTATTAACTTCATTTTGAATCGAGTCGTACGAGTTGAGATTTCGAAGTGGCTGAAAGCAACACTGTTACTGCAATGTTATGATAGGATAGGAAAAAAAAGATAGGAATTAACCTTGGGGTTTAGTAGTCGGCCTCGCTTTGCTGGCATGAAATCTTCATCAAATTCGTCTTCATATGTCGAGCCATGATCCTCATAGTTATCCTGAGACTATGTCAAGGGAAGAATCGGTATGGTTCTGCTACTGTTTCTAACTACTAACAATTTCTACAGATAATTACTCGCAATATATACATAACTGCATTGTTCACGCTAAAGGGAACGAATATTTCTGTGAGGGAGTCAAAGAATATCTAGCTCCGCAGTCACCTTTTCGACACTGCAGTCCTTCCTGCTTTGCACTATGCCTAGAAGACATGGACACCACAAAAGCAGGATGAACATGCAGTCAATTTCATTCATCACCTTGTGGAAAGGACGATGCTTCTAATTCCCCTACCCACTTAGGTGCAATGTGGAATCCGGAGTTCCGAACCCTGTCAACGAACAAAGACCTCGTTGCTTACGCCAAGAAAAAGTATACCAGGAGGTCGAGAACCACCATGGAATATTGTTATGACAGTCACACCAGTGCATTACTGACTGAATCTCTGCGGACTCAAACGAACACCAAGAGGGCAGCCAGCGCCAAGGTCAAAACTCTTCACGAAAGCTCTGAGCGTAAGGAATGCTATGCCTCGCGTCTATCAAACAAGGGCGACAAACTGAGTGGACTACTCTGGCTTGCAACAGAGGAAGGAGGCGGTACTGGCGCCATCACGAAAGAGTCTATGATCAACGGTGAGACAGGTGATACGGGTGAAATCCATATTGTGAATAAGTAGGGAGCTTTTGCGCGTCTAGTTCTGCACCGTGTTTAGTTTCTGCCAAAAGTGGATGCATAGAAAGCACGAAACCATGTTAAAAAGTCGCTCGATCTTGGTCCACTTAGGGAACGTCGCCAAAACTTGACAGCTACGGTAAAGAATTAGACAACTTATGGTAGAAATAATTTTTGGAGGTAATCACTCGACAAGCACCGATTACTATGACGGCACTTATAACACGATGAACCTCACTACACCACAATTAATGCGACACTTTGAAAAAAAGTCAAATGCAAAAGCAAGCAGAAAAAAAACGCACCTCATGCTTGGGATTCCTTTTTCTACGTCGGCTAATATTTACATCCGGATCAATGACTTCAGCCATATCCCCGCAACGAAAACCTTTAAATTGCGGAGTAGATCACAAGAAAAACATAATTTCTGGTGAGTCAAATTATAGACATATCTTAAGGGACGATTCATGACAAGACAATGTACTGATATCCATTCACGAAAAGGGTAAACAGACTAAAAATACAGCTTTTAAAACACCACGTTTGTAAAAGAGCGGGAATATCGATGTTTTTTACCGAAAGTGCGCGTCTAGAAAAAGTCAGTCTGTATTTGCGTAGAACGTCCCCTCATTGTCGAAGTTAGCGAAAAAGTTAGCCGCATTGGCTTGGGTAATTCAGAATTTTCACAAGGTTTTCTTAATAATATCAGTGTTGCACCCTGAGACTGCTTCACCACCTGGGACCTTTCCGAAAGAAAAGCTTTTTCTGAGCCGTAACGAAAAGAAGAGCAACTCAGGGCCACTGCCGACCGCGAACACATTTTTTGTTATGTTATCTGCAACAATGTATCATCCCTGGAGTGTGAGCCCAGTCAAAGGAAAACGGAAATTCCAAGTCAATGACCTGTCTTTACAGTTGTGAAGCTGTAAACCTTGGATCGAAATCTGGCTAGCACCGGACACAATCGAGAGTGCGTCGGATGTATTCCCACGAACTTCCTCAGGCATTTTTTGATGCATCAAATATGTGACGGAACTGGGTAAAATTAAACGCGTTGTCTGTGACAGTTAGTGCTTCCATAGTCCGCCGGGCGGCGCTTGCCGCTTGTTCACTACTGAATTTTGGTCGATACCGTCGGCCGAGTAGCCCCCCAGCCGGCGCGCTCGCTCGCTCGCGGGCCAGCCGGCGGACTATGAAAGCAGCCTTACGGGTCCGTTGTATTTTATTTTACGAAAAGATCATTGGGTATGGTGGGTGCACGGTCACCTCGTGCATCCGAGGACGCGTGCGGCAAATTGCGCGGTGAAGTTCATGACGATTTGTACGACTCTGGCGCCAATTTTCGCGACACAAATTCGAATTAGGGTACTTTGGTAGGGTCAGATGACCTTCTATTCTACTCAACTTCAAATTTGGGCCCCAATGATAGGCGCGAAAGTCGTTCAAATCGTTAATTACTTACAATCGTAATCAGATCGAACTTCGCCGCGCGCCTCCTCGGACGCATGACGTACGTGGGTCGGGTACGGGACATTCGTGCGATTCGACCTGAGTGCGGCTAATTGCGCGGCGATATTCGTGGCGATTCAGATGACTCTGGCGCCCATTATTAGGGCACAAACTTGAAGTAGAGTAGATCAGTAGGGTCAGCTGATACTATTAGGTTGTAAGGAAAGTTCTGGCCGTTTCGTCAGCTATTTTTCAAAAAGTTATAACTCATCTCAAAGTGAACATTTTTATTTGTAGTAATCCCCATTCGATTCTACACATGTTTGCCAACGTGATACAAGTCTGTCTATTCCATTCTTATAAAAGTCCGGAGATTCGGATTCCAAATACTCGAGAAAGGCAGCTTCCGCATCGCCTTGATTTTTGAACAATCGTTCCTTGAAGAAGCAGTCCAGA